ACACACACACACACACACACACACACACACAATGTAAAAAAATGAGGATAGGCAATCAGAGTTGTAACACAGTGGTAGAGCACTTGCCTAGCATGGGGTGGTGGTGGTGCTGAATTCAATTCCCAGTAATGAAAAAAGAGAAATTATGGTTTGAATGAGAAATGTCCCCATAGGCTCAAGTATTTGAACACTTTGCCCCACTTGATGGCACTGTTTGGGGAGGACTTGGAACCTTGAGGGTGGTGTGGCCTTGCTGGAGGAAGTATGCCACTGGGGGAGGGTTCTGAGAGATTAAATCCTGGAACCACTTAACTTCATGTTCTTTGCTTCATTTTTACTGTTGAAGATGTGAGCTCTCAGCCTCCTCCCCAGCCACCATGCCTGCCTGATGCCATGCCTCCCCAGCCTTGATGGACTCTTATCTTCTGGAACCGTAAGTCGAAATAAATTCTTTTTTCCTTAAGTCCCTTTCGGTCATGGTGCTCTCTCACAGCAACAGAGCAGGAACTAATTCAGGAAGGAAAGCTTTATTTTGGCTCACATAAATCGAGATGTCAGTCCATGCTTGTTGGGCCCTGTCGTGATGATGAGACAGACACCCATGTGGTGAAGCAAGCTGCTTACCTCATGGTGACTGGGCAGCTAAAGATGAAAGACCGTATTCCCCTCACCCTTCAAGGGCATGTCTTCAGTGACCTTACGTCAATGAGGCCTTACCTCTTAAACATCCCACTAACTCTCAGGGGCACCACACACTGGGGACCAAGCCTTTACCTCATGGGCCTTTGGAGATCCTGCAGATCCCAATCTCAGCAGTGTGTTTCCTGTGAGAACCCACCACTCTCTGCTCTAGAGTCGCTTGCTGTTTTACACTCACATCAGCAGTGCATGCATGCCTCGACTTCTCTGCATGGGCAGTGTTTGATGTTACCCCTGTTTCATATTCTACCCACGTCTTGTTTTGATTTTAATAGGTGTTTTCAAAAATCTAATTCTGCTAGATATTTTTCCAGGTGTTTATCTCTGGGTGTTTTTGAGTGAAATTTCAATCCATGTCTTCGCTAAAATATTTTATTTATTATTTTTACTTTATGCGTATGGGTGTATTGCCTGCACGTATGCAGGTGCACCCATGTTGTGCAGTGCCTGCAGAGGTCAGAATAGGGTTTTGGATTCTCTGGAACTAGAGATATGAATTGTTGTTAGCCACTGTGTAGGTGCTGGGAACCAAACCCAGGTCCTCTTCAAGAGTGTTCTTAACCACTGAACCAGCTCACCATGTCTTTTCCAAAGAATTGTCTTCTGTGTATTGCCTGCACGTATGCAGGTGCACCCATGTTGTGCAGTGCCTGCAGAGGTCAGAATAGGGTTTTGGATTCTCTGGAACTAGAGATATGAATTGTTGTTAGCCACTGTGTAGGTGCTGGGAACCAAACCCAGGTCCTCTTCAAGAGTGTTCTTAACCACTGAACCAGCTCACCATGTCTTTTCCAAAGAATTGTCTTCTTATTTACTATAGAGTTTTGTGAGTTCTTTCTACAATCTGAACACAAGTTATTTGTCACATATGTGATTTGCAGATCTTTTCTCCCAGCCTGTGGCTTCTTTTAACGTCTTTCTCATAAGGTCTTCCACTGAGCCAAAGTTGTAAATTTTCATGAAATGAAAATGACTATTTCTGTCATTTACTTTTCTGTTTTTAGGAACATGCTTTTGGTGCCAAATCTAAGAACTCCACCTAGCCCTGGATTCAAACGATTTCTGCAATGTATATTTTGTAGAATTTTTAGTTTTAAAATTGCAGTTAAGTCTATGATCTATGGGTTAATTGCATGATGTTAGCGTGAGCTGTGACCTTTAGCCAAGATTCATTTTTTGATCATTATTGTGCTATCTTTCTACCACAACTTATTGACAAAGCTCCTTTTCTTTTGTGCCTTCTTTTAGTCATATTTCTAAGTCTGAGTTCTGTATTTTGTTCCACTCAGTTGTGTGTCTAACCCCACTCCGATACCACCCTGCTGTAACACAAGAAGTTGAATACTAGGAAGAGCTATTTCTCTCGGTTAAAATCTTTTTCTCCCCTTATCTAGAAGACTTTGAGAGGGAACTGACACTGATTCTTACTACTCTAACCCCTATCAGAATACCTGAAAACAAATCCTGAATCTATCACTCTAGAGTCCTATGGGGGCACGCAGGGATCTCGGGGCGTCCCCTGCACTCACCTGGAGAGGCGCGGCGGGTCCTGTGGGCTTCTCGGTCTCCACTGCGCACCTGGAAGGTCGGCGGGTTTGGTCGCACACCGCGTCGATGTCCGCCGCTTGAGTGCTGAAAGTCTCTGCTGCCGGAGCTTTGCCCGGCTGGGTTCTGCCCTAATTTCACCCGGGTACTCTCTCTCTCTGAGTTCGGGACCCGTCAGCTGCCGGGTCACGAGGAGAGGTACGAGGCGGCTAAAGCTAGGTTTCCGTGAGTCGATGACAGAAGGATATCACCCCCCAGAGAGACTGGATCGTAGGCAGTGAGACACAGGATTCAGCTTTCCGTGTTACAGCTCTTTATTAAGTGGCTCTGCTTGGCTCCAAGTCTCAGTGTCCCCGCTCCTAGCTCCTAGTAATCCAGCTCCAATTATTGAGGGGAAACCAGGAAACTTTATACCGTGAGGGCAGTGGTAAAAGCCTTAGCTGATAGGTACTTTTAGGATGCCCCATCTACATATGGAAGTGGGCTCCTGCCAGGCTTCCAGACTGCCAGAAAAATCACACAGGAAAACCTGGCATTTCCAGAGCCGGAGGCCATGTTTTTCTGGCGGCTACTTCAAAAGACGAGTCAGGAAGATGCCAGGAAGGTACCCTGATGAAAAGGAGTCTTCTGCATATGAAACTGAGTCCATGGGCTGTCTGGACATGGAGAGACTACTACTTCACAACAAGGGTCCCCAACAGAGTCCAGCCTTGGAAGACCAAAAAAAAAATTGAGGAGGACCCAATAGAGGGATGCTTTTGGAAGCCCTTGTTAAGAAATTCCAATTACATATGAACATTTGAAAATTGCCCTGTTCTGATGTTTTCTAGTTCCCTGTCTAGAACTTCTAATGCTAATTACTCTTGCCTTTATTTCTGCTTCACAGCTCCTGTTCATGATTCAAGGGCTTTCTTTTCCCCTTAGAGATAAGAGTTATGCAATTTGGGAGTCTTTTAGATAAACCCACTGAAGGGGTACTCCAGTTGCCTCACCCCGTGTCCCTGTTCAGCATCGAAGAATCCAGAGTGGTCTGTGTCCCTATTCCCTATTTGCAATTTGGGTAGCCCCTTCAGAGGATAGTGTGATAAGAATAGGAGGTAGGAATTGGCTATACAGTTAGGGTAAAAAGACACTAAAAAAAGTAGCCAGTTTCTTGGCTCAAAGTCAAAATATCCTTGTGACTGTTAGCGACATACTCTGTTCCAAAGGGCAAAAATGTCACGGGTATTTGGGAGTTGTATCTAATCCTTAAAAGATTTTAGGGTTACCTCTTCAGAGGGGGGGAATGTTAGAGTGCCCAAAGCCCCATAAAAATAAATGAAAGAAGAAAAAAAAAGAAGAAGAAAAAGTGGTGGGGAGATATGGGAGGTATTGGAAGGGAGGGAGTGGGCATGGATTTGATCAAAACACCTGACACGCATGTATAAAATTCTCACTAAAGTCTTTTTAAAAGTTAAAAAAAAAATATGAATAATTTTTAATTGGGCTTTTGTAGTTTTATACAACTATTCAAAATAAAATTTAGAACACCATGCCTCCCCTGTCCCCCTACCAGACCTCACATATTCTGAAATACATGTTAAGTCTTATCCATTCAGGCATTT